TTTTTTTCTTTCTCTCTCTGTGAAAACAGGGTATGTAATTATAAGAACCTAATTATCATCTCTTTCAAAAGAATCAGGTTGCTTGGCTGTGTTTGTAGTGTTGGACTTAACAGCACTGAAAATTCTACTTGCACAATCTGGTAATTATCGTCATCAATCATGCTACCCTCTAAGCACTAAGTAGGTACCTTTATCTGGAAGGAAAATGAAGTGAACCATTTTTCTCTATGGCAGAAATGAGAGGCAGTTAGCTTAGTGGTCTGAGTCACTCAGGTGAAAGCTCCAGCCCCAGCCCTGCCCACACTAGCTTTGTATCCTTGCCCGTCGCTTAATATTTCAGAGACTCAGTTTCTTCATCTGTAGCATGGGGATGAAATGGTTTTCCTCACACCTTGAGGTAAGATTAGCAAGGTCACACATGTCAAAGCAAGTGCCAGTGTCTGTACACATTAAGCACACGCTGGCCTGTGTTCTTCCCAGCGCTCCCTGCGCTTGGCAGCAGCTTGATTCCACTCTGAGATCTTTATTTCTTTGAATTCAGAGGAGGATGGTGGATGCTCTCAGTTAATCATCAACTCTTCTCCACACATCCTGGCTCACCGTCCAGCTAAGAATATCTCTTAGGCCTGAGAAGTCACCTCCCTTTCCCCCGTCCCTGGAAGAAGCCCAGGTCCTAAGTCCCAGAGAGACTTGAGAACACCAACCAGGTGGCCAGGCCTCAGTTTCCCATCTAGAAACTCGGTTGTTGCACTCCACTGCACTGACTTGCTGTGAATATTGATTAAGGTGTGGGCACTGTCTTCCTTCCCAGCACACAGCGGCTGTTTCATAAATGAGTTTTCTCCCTTTGGGTATCCATGTGCCATTCATTCACTGATCTCTTTGCTCCTAAGAGGGAAATAGAGCACAAACCTTATTCCTGCTAGAGAAACAGGAACTGACGTCTTTGCTGTCATTCAATTGAACAAAGCAGGAGAGTAAACTCAGCGCCCAGGTTCCACTCCTGTGCTCTTTCCAGTGCTTCACAGCTGCCTCACTCATGCTCACAACAAAAATCTCCTAAGTGCTTCCCACTGCCAGCCCGTGGGCTACTGCACCAGTCCAGGCCTGACCACAGGCAGTGGCACTGGAGAAGGGGAAGGGGCAGCTACCATCTCTTCTTTCTGTGCCTCCTCCTCTCTTCCATGCTTATTCTTCCTCTCACGTTCTTTTCTCCAGGGTGTCACCACCCACACAGGCAGCCACATTCTGATGAAGTTAATAATCAGGGTGTCAGCTTTAAATGCCAGTTAGCTCAAGGGAGAGAACCTACTTACTAAAATAAAGAAATAAAGAAATAAATAATAAAACCTGGCAAGAGGAAAATTCCAGTTGAGCTAACCCATCACCACAGTCCTCTGTTGGACACAGTTATGTTGCACCCATTCATTTGTTCATTCATTCGTTCTCAAAACAAGTATATCCACCTTAGATATTGTTCTAGCCAGGGATCAGCACACTCTCTCTGTAAAAAACAAAATAGTGACTATTTCATGATTTTGTCCTGTCTCTTAAGTGCTGCCATTGCAGTGTAGACAACACACAAATGAAAGAGGTGACTCTTCTCCAGAGAAACTGTATTTACAGAAACAGGTGGCAGACTGGGGGTTGCCCCCCTTGCTGTGGGCACAGGGATGTGAAGAGCCCAGCTGCCCCCTCGGGAGGCCAGAGTCTGGATCAAAACCTGAAGCTGATGACACACTGTGATAAGAGATGCGGAGTCAGGGCCTCCCTGGTTGCTCAGGGGTTAAAATCTCAGGCTATCAAGCTATCACCAGCCACTGTAGCATGAGTTCGGTCCCCGGCCAGGGAGCTAACCCACTTGGAGCAGCAGACCTCTCCTGTGTTGCCTGCGGCTCCCCTCAGAGTGTATTTCAGTAGAGCTGCCTGCTCTTCTCCCAACTCTGTCTCTGGTGAATCCTCTCACCCTCCCACCCCCACACACCTCTGGCCTGTACCCCAGTTCTTGTATGCATAAATTTTAAAAAAATCTTTAAAAAAAAAGACAGGTGGGGAGTCACCTGTCTTTACAAATAAACCCACTCACACCCTAGAAGTAGTTAATTTAACAATGGTTAACAATTCCACAAAGGAATGAACCCTTCCCCCAAAACAGACTCTATCAGAACAGTTTCTGCCCTGATAAAGCACAGCTCTTTCTGCCCGCTTGTGTCTGTGCAAGCCTCTTCTCCTTTCCTTTTTTCTAATAAACCTGCCCTTTTTGGATATTAAGAAAAAAGTGAGCTGGGATAAAGGGCACAATGATGTGATAATCAGTGGTTAGTTCTATATGAAACACCGACCAGGTGTCAGAAATATTACTGAAGTTATTTCATTTATTTTTCCTACCACAGTGTGAAGGAGTATGTGGTCACTTACAAGTGGCGAAAATGAGGCTTGTCCAGATGGTGACATGATTTACTTGGTGACCCGTGGAGCTAAGACTTGACCACAGGCACTGCAGCCTCCCTAGTTCACACACTTGAGGGCGACTCTACAAGCAGGCACAATGGAGAAGAGTCTGTACAGATTACTAGAGGCTTAGCTGGATGGAAGATAGTTGAGCAGCATCTTTGTTTTTTAAAAAAGATTTGTTTATTTATGCATACAAGAGCTGGTGCTTAAGCCAGAGGTGGGGGGAGAGGATTCACCAGAGACAGAGTGGGGAGCAGAACAGGCAGATCTACTGAAATACACTACCGAAGGGAGCAGCGGGAGAGGCAGGAGAGGTCTGCCACACCATGTGGGCTGCTCCCGGGCAGGCCAAGGGATCGGATTCATGCTGCAGTGGGCTGTCTCCAACCCCTGCACCATCAGGGAGGCCCAAGTTGAGCAGCATATTCAAAGGTTCCTTAGTCCTTGAAGGCTGGAAGGCAGAAGGACCAATAGGAGTAGGGTAGTCAGGGCCCCCCAGAGGGGATCTATTGCTGAGCATGGGTGGAATACCAGGTGAAAGAACCCTAATAACTGCCTACCTCAAAAAACCATCCCTTTTTCCACTGGACAAAGCCATCATGGATACCAGGAGTGCCCAAAGGACTGTAAATGCCCCTACCCCATGCAGATACTGGACATTGTCCACTCTGTATCCCAGGATCTTGAGAAACTGCTGAATTACTGGCAAGATGCCTCCCCAAGGGACACAGAGCATGAGACTAGACCAGACAAGACTCCCTTTATTTCTTGGTGCCACCCCTTACCTCCACCCTCCTAAGAGCTCACCAGTTTTCTTATATACTTACCTGGCCATGACCCTCAGTTCTTGGTATTTTGCAGCCCATGGTCCCCAACCCCACCCCTGATGTCCACCCTTCCTCACGGTCCCTGAGGGTCCGAGAACAGGGAGTCCTCAACAGGCCAGCAAACCCAATCCTGCATAGATAGGTCCAGGGACAGAGGACACTGGCGTCCCTAGGGGTCCCATGGCCTGTCCAGTCTCACAGAGTGAATGCTGCCCTCGCTACAGCTCCAGCTCCTGCAGCCATGTTTCTCCCCACCTGCACTCTGCCGCCAGCTCAGCCCCCATCCGATCCTGCCCTGCTTTGGCCTCCACATCAAAACTGATCCTGTCTATCTGAGACCAAGCACCAGTCGCCACCTGAAATACCATATTTTTATTTGCTTATTGCATGTCTCTCTCCACAAGAATGCCAAATCCATGAGGACAGGGACTTTGTTTTGTTCACTGATATATCCTTTATGTAGCCTGCTGTATGGCAGATAGGGGAAAGTAATTACAGAATGAATGAATGATACAGGGGAGGTGACAACCTCAGTTCTAAGAGTTATTTATTGTGGGATGGTGGGTGAGGTGGATGACAGCATTTAACCACCTATAGGTGGGAAGGGAAGCAATTTTCAGTATGACCTTCAACTACTCAAGAGAGTGTCGGGGCCAACCTGGCCAGGCCCAGGTAGGTCAATTGCAAGCGAACCCTGGTCACAGGGGAGACAACCCATAGAAAATGCCACCTATGACATGACAGCCATGGGACACGGAGTCACTCACAGGGGAGCGAACTGTTTCACCCCTACTGTTTGGTTTAAGGGGTTCCTCCCATCCTATAGAAATCGGATTCTCACAACTTATGAGGCAAGATTCACTATGTCCATTTTAAAGATGAGAAAACTAAGAGTAATGTAATCAGGATTCTTGGTAATAGCAGCATCCATTCAACATGTATTGCTTGAATAACTTCCATGTCCCAGGCATTGTTCAGGGCACCAGGGATGTAGAATGTAGCAGTAAACAAAACAAAGGTCCCAGCTTTTGTAGAACTTACATTACTGTGGAGAGACACATACTATGAACAAATAAAAATACTATATGTCATGTGGTAACTAGTACTCAGAAAGCAAAATAAAGCTGTTAAGGAGAGAAGAGGTGGTCAGAATGGGCCCCTTTGAAGAAGAAAGGGCAGAAGAAAATGAGGATGTGAGATACTTGGTCCTAGCAGTGAAAGCAGCACCTGCAAAGGTCCTGAGGTAGGAGCATAATTAGGTTCTTGAGCAGCCAGGAAAGGTTAAAGAGGAGCCTGACCTTTCACAGTTTGAAGCTTCCCCATCAATTCATTCTGCCTTCACCTCACAGACCCAGGTGTCCAAGGCATGCTGGCTCAAATGGCACAGTCAGGAATCCCAGGTGGCCCCAGCACCCCCATTCCTGCCCCCCCACAGGGTAAACTGCACTGAGAGGAGAGCAGCCTTCATGGCAGCCCAAGTCACAGGAGAGGCAGGAAGAGGGTAGAGGTTAAAGAGAAAAAATAGCTTTCTTCAGTGCATGCACACACATACACACACACACACAGAGGAACATTCATTTTCTAGTAAAAGCAAAGTCAGTCAACACTTCCATAAATAAAACATCACATTCTTCTTTTGTGAATCCATTCTGATTTCACTCTTCCTCACTACTATGTACAGATGTGTATAGAGCAGGAACAGCCATTTATGTTGACTTATTTATTTTTAAAAAATGAAGAGAAATAGTGATCTTTTTTGACCATTAATAATTTTAGTTTTCAAAAATTATTTAAAGAGAGGTCAGAAATGCATGAGTCAGATGAAATTGTTTCTTTTATTCCCGCTTTTCATTCCTCCATGGCACATTTGTGAGCTTCCAAGGGATGCAACATGGTAGCCTTTGCTCACCTCTTAAAGAGTTCCAGTCCACAGCATCAATTATTGTGCAGATTGCTTTTCTGAAGATTGAGCTGTGTTGGGTGGGTGAAGAGATGTGGGAGAGTGGGGTCCATATTTTAAATCATTGTCATTGAGTTTGCTGCCAATCTGTTTCCTGAGTAAATTTGTGTAGATGTCACAGATATCTGCAAGGAATTTTAAAGAGACAGGAAAAGATATATTCCTCTTGACAATGTCTGGATGCCAGAAATAAGTTTCTGGACCTCATCTCAAGCAATGGGCCCAAAATATGTCATTCCTCTCTGGGGCTGCTAGTTAAAGGACTGTGCATAAGAGTGTGTGTGTGGTAGGATTTTGGTTTATATTCAGAAAGGAGAATTCAAAACACTCATTATCTTGATTCTTCTCTTTAGGGCAAAAAGAAAGCAGTAGGGGTGGCAAGAACTGTAGCTATATCTGTTGCAAGGCCTTTCTCGTGTATATCTGTTTCAAGGAAGGCCTAAGATCATCAGTCCATATCCGTCCTCCACTCCTTTGTGCAGGTAGAGACGTGGCCCTTACATGTTCATATCCACTATTTCTACATAAAGAACTGCTACTTTTCCTTTAAAATCCAGCACAGAATTCTATTTAGAATACTGTGAGTTAACTCCTAGCAGACATCAGTGCCTCCAGAAATAACCACTATAAACTATGGACAGAATACAAAAAGAAGCTACACTGAAAACTCTGGAGACTGATCTAACTCAGGCAGGTTTTGAATAGGAGTCAAAACATAGAAAGGACTGGCACAGAGTAAGCTCATCATTTTTGCAGTTTTGCTGTGAAAGTGGTCTGTGAAGTGGTGCAAGGCACATGAAGCTCCAAAAGAAACCTCACCATGTTTATGACCTGAAGGACAAAAGGTTAGAGCCAAGGGTAGCCAAAGTCACCCCTGAATGACAGAAGAATTTCAGGAAAGGGGAACACTAGAGAAGGGGGCCCAGGGCCCTGTGTGTTAACTGTGTCCAAATGTCTTGGCAGACCCATGAACTGGACATGCATGGAGAAGACTTGAAGCACCTCCAAGTAAGGATTAAACACTGACCTCACAATTGAACCTCCCTTCACCACAGGCAAGTCAAAGATGACAGTTTAAATCTATTTTCCTGCTAAGATAAACATATCAACATTCTTAGGAAGGCCATAACAGAAACCCAGAGTTTCCATAATATAATAATCAGTGTTCAGGATAAAATCCAAAATTCCTCAATGTCTAGTCAGGAAAATGCAATCCATTTACTACAAGGGGGAAGGGGTGAGAAAACCACCATTATTAAACTGCAAGATGACCCTGATGTTAGAATTATTAGAAAAACATGATAATTAAGCTTAATGAGGTAAAAGAAAATATGCTAATGAATAAAAAGGGAGGAATTATCAACAGAGTTTGTGTGTGTATGTAAATCTTGAATGCATCACTAAACACACTGAAAACTTAAGACAATATCTTGAAGGTAGCAGAAGGAAAGACATTGCATATAAAAAAGAAAAGTAAGAAGTTATGCACAGATGATTAAAAAGTACACAATGGAGTGGCATCTCTAAAATGAAAAGCAAAATGCTGCTAGCACAAAATTTTATACCCAACATAGGTATCTTTCCAAAATGAAAAAAAAAAAAAAGATGAATTCACAAATAAAAGCAGGGAGAATGCATTGCCAGCAGTCCAAGCTACAAAACTGTCATAAGCAGTATGTCAGACAGAATGAATATGATTCCAGAGGGAAACCTAGAGCTATGTGAAAAAGAAAGAAAAGTGCACTAAAAGTAGGAAAAAAAATAATGTTAAATATAAAGATTTTTTTCTAATGTTTAAGTATATCAAATGATAACTGAGTGTTTAAAGCAATAAGAGTAGCAATGTGTTGTTCATTTATAGCACAAATAAAAGTAAAATGTATGACAATAATAGCACAAAAGGTAGGTAGGAAGAACTGGTAGTGTACTGTTACAAGGTCCTTAGGACACAAGCAATACAGTCATGCATCACCTAATCACATTTCAGTTAATGACAGATCTTATATATGAGAGTGTTACCAATAGACTCTATTACATAGTCTAGGTGTGTAGAAAACTTTACTGTCTAGGTTTGCATAATTATACTTGATAATGGTCACACAATAAAACTGCCCAATGATGAATTTCTCAAAACATATCCCTATTACTAAATAATGGATGACTGTATACTGTTGACCAATGCAACACTGAAAGATATTTTTGCTCTTTGAAAGGCACTGTTAAAAGAGTGAAAAGGCAAGTCGCAGACTGGGAGAAAATACTCGCAAGTCACATATCTGATAAAGGACCTGTAGCTAAATTATATAAAGAATCCTTAAAACTCAAAGATAACAAGTTAAGAAAAAGTCAATCAATGCTTTGAACATAAACTTTGCCAAAGAATATACGTAATTGGCAAATAAGCACATAAGAATATGCCTAACATCATTAGTTATTAGGGAAATGCAAATTAAAGTCACAATATGATACTATTACATGTGTTACAGAAATGCCATAATTTTTTTTTTAATCTTACTATGTTAAGCATTGGTGAGGATGAGGAGAAGTAACTGGAACTCTCTCATATTGCTAGCGGGAGTGTGACAAATATCATGGTCACTATAGAAAACACTTAGGCAATTTTTCACAAAGATCAATATATACTCATGACAGTAGAACAAATACATTTCTATGTATTTGTCCCAATGAAATGTGTATGCAAATACAAAATCTAGATGTAACCATAAATATTCTTCAACTAGGATATTTGGATGACCAAACTATGGCACATGCATACAATGGAATATTATTCAGCAACAAAAAGAAGTGAACCTGTACCTGTTTGAGTATCTGTTTGAGAGTCTCATATCATGATAAGTGAATGAAACCAATCTCAAAAAGCTATATACCAGACACACAGACCAGTGGAATTGAATTGAAAACCCAGAATAAAGCCACACATATATGGACAACTAATCTATGACAAAGGAGCAAAGAATATGCGATGGAACAAGGATAGTCTGCTCAATAAATGGCGCTGAGAAAAGTGGACCACCACATGCAAAATAATGAATCTAGACCACTACCTCACACCATACACAACAACCAGCTCAAAATGGATAAAAGACTTGAACATATGACCTGAAACCATAAAATATATAGAAGAAAACATAAGCAAAGTGCTGCATGACATACATCTCAGAAACATCTTTAAAGACTCATCCCCTAAAACAAAGAAAGTGAAGGAAAAAATAAACTGCTCCTGTATGGCAAAGGAAACAATAACCGAAAACAAAACCATGCCGATTGGCTTAACTTAAGAGGAACATAGAGAAACCAAATAAGGAGTGAGGGGAAATAAACAGACAAAACTAGCAGGCAAACTATAAATTGGATAATTTAGCTAGGGAGGGGGAGGGCAAGGGATCACAACAAGGGTAGGAAGAGCACAAGAGACAATGGTGGTGGTTCACAGGTGTCTTGGAGGTGGTAATTTTATGGGGATTATATCTGAGAGAATGAACAATGGTGTATAATATATACATATATATAAAGAATTTAAAAAGTTATATACTTCATAATTCCATTTATGTTGCAAAATGATATGGCAGAAAACAGGTTCATAATTGCTAAGGGGTTGAGAGTGGGAGAAGGATTGGCTACAAGGAATGTGGGAAAATCTGAGGGCTAAGGAATGGAACTGTTGTATATCTTGCCCCTGGTGAGGTTTGCACAATTCTGTACCCTTGTCAAAACTTGCAAAACAATAAAGTATAATGGGTTAATTTAGTGTAAGAAAATAATACCATAATTGTTTCATTAAAAAAGAAAAAAAAATTACTATGTTGACCGAAAATAGCCCTACATATTCTGCATGAGCTCATTTATTTAGAATTTTAGGGAAGGCAAATTAATGTATAAGGTTATATCTAATGCTACTAGGAAGTAATAGATGCATGCCTAAAACATAGCAAGCACTCAATAAGTGTTGGCCATTGTTATTAGATTAAATACTGTGACAATGAGTAGGAAGGAAATTAGCCTGATTCCATGATAGAAATGAGAAAGAACCCACTTTAGAAAGAGTAATCAGGAGTGGCCTTCTAAAAGTGAACATTTAATCTGGAACCTGCAATCTGAGATGGCACCAGCTAGGCAGGTGTGTTTCTGGAAGACAGAATAGCCTATATGAAGTCTCTTAGACAGGGAATTGATTGGAGAAACTACACAGAAGCCAGAAGGCTTTGGCCAAGGCAGGGAAGGGGAGAAAGAAGAAAGGAGACAGAGGCAGGGGTCTCTTCCCTCGGGTCTACAAGCACTAACAATTTCGGTAAATGACGGATGGGAGACGGAAGGTCAGATGGATAGTTGGAGAGAGGGTGGGAGGGAGGGAGAGGGATAGATGATTAGGTGGACAAATGGATAGACGAACGGTTACTCAACTGGGGAAGTACACAGATCTATTTGGATGTGAACTCTCTTTGCCACTTAGCAGGTATTTCAAACTCACACAAATCCCTTTCCCACTTCCAGTCTGTGCTTTTATGTCTGTAAAAACAATATCAATATTAGTAGTGACTCCATAGGATTATTGAGGGAATCAAGTAAGATCATGCACAGAAGCTGCCCCATTCATCAAGATCTCTCTCTCTCTCTCTCCCCCATCACTCCTTCCCCTGTGTTTCTCTGCTTATCCCTTTCCTTGTCACCACCAAACTCTGAAGCCCCACCTTAGCTTGGTAAGATGAGAAACACGATGGGCTAAGGTGCCTGGAGCTGAGTTCATCAGCATTGGGCACATAAACCAGAAGACATGTGGGCTTTTTGGTTGAAGAACTTTCTTGAGGGTCATCAGAAGCTGACTTAAGGCAGAGCAGGCCCAGGGACTGGCTGAGTCTCAGCAGCAGAGTGAGGCTGAGAAAGGATGAGAAGAGTGGAGAGTATGCATTGAAGTCTTTGTGTGGGGGAGGCACTTGCATAGATTTTCTCACTGTGTGCTCACCACAGCTCTAGGAGGAGTGTGCAATTTTTTTTAATCAAATCTCCATTTCACAGATGAGTGTGAAACACAGAGAGCCCCTCACCTTCCCATAAAGTTGTTCCTATTGGGTTGAGGGTGTGCTTAGGTACCCCTTGTGCCATTGAC